ATATTCAAATTGCAGCAATGTCCCTAAAATCTTAATTTTTTTCATTTTTGCTTCTGTTAATAAGTAAATTGAAACTTGCAAAATTAAAATGAGATTGTTATATATTAGATGATGTAGAGATATGTAAGTTACAGAACATAAATAACTGTGTCCTGTTTAAAAAAATTTGAACTATGAAAGACAAATGATTTGTTATTTGTGAAATATAATATAGTTTACTGTTTAAAGCAAATTACAATGTTTTACAGTTAACGTAGAGACACAGGCAAGCAGGCAGACAGGCAGATTCATACATACATACATACATACACACACAGGTACTCTTGTAATTACTTTCAGAGCGATGTTGATGGCCTCTTTTAAGAGTTAACCTTTTATGTGCTGTGTGATCCCACAAAATTGCTACCCTTGAATTCATAGCAAACATTAGGTTACATTGTTTAACACACGTTTTCCTTTGTAAATAGTGACTGGAATCTCGGCGTGGATACGGGACTATTAGATGAAAGGTGACCTTGAACATTTCTCTGTAAATCCCTACAGCTGATAGCTTTGTGACTGTAGCTGCAGGTGAGCTTTCTTATTAGACAAGATAAAGCTTACATGTGTTGTGTATTAGCAATACCTGGGCACACAGCAAGTTCCCCTGTACAAACGATGCCTAGAATAGAGTGTTATGGAGACTCCTCTAATCCAATCACTGCCCCCCTGCTGTGCTCGCTTGATAAATTACATTGAACATGACCTTTTACAGAGCGGCTACTGCAGGTATGCAGCGAAGTAGAATAAGCTTTGTATCGGGCCCTTTCCACCAACTGATATGTCATATAGAGAGCAGTGGTAGCCAAGTGCTAAATCGCTTCCTACTGTACAGATACAACTCAAATTGTTCTTTGCCTTCAATGCAAAAATGTGAGTTGTAGTTTTACATCAGTTGATATCATTTTCTGTCCATCTCTGTTTTAATGGAATGCTATACTGGTTAAAAACAAAAACAAAAATTAAAAAATAGACACTAGCAAATTATGCTGGGATGCCTGTAGTTGATGTGCAGCAGTATTCACCCAAACAACCAGCCACCACTTTATCATAAACACGTGTATTCCAGGGTCAATGGAAAGCTAACGATAAGAGGGAGTGATAGAGTCTGTGTTCTAGAATGCTGGGAGATGTGAAAGGGTCAGATTCTATTTAAGGACAGGTCACGATCAGTGATAGGTTCGGGCTATGTTTGGCATTGCCCATATTCTGTAATACTCTATATATAGGGGTAGGTCATGTTCAAATGCAATCTATATAAAGGCAATATGTCACTTTTACTGATAATCTGCAAGCAGTGTATATTTAGCGATGGTATTCTGATTTTAGCACTGTTTAACCCTTAGAGCAAGACTTAGAGAAATCCTTTGTTATCATGCCTGTTTTGAACGGGTTAACCTTTAGTGAAGAAGAATATTAATCGGTCTTGATCTTTATAAGACTATATTTCATGTTGAGTAATGGGCTTTATTTGTCGATCGGTTATGTTCGGTAATTTTGTATCCTAGGTACGATAATCTATATGAGGTTTGGTTGCGATAGATTTAGCGATATATAGTAGATAAGGCGATAATTCGTAAACGATTATCGGTGAAAGCTCAGATTTCACTCTGAATTTTCAGGCGAATCTTATGTTGACATTTGATTTATATTTTTTAAACGGTCTATATTCGGCCATATACAGGAAACGCCAAACTGTAGCGTATAGGTAACCGAATTTTAGGGTTTATGAAAAAATTGCTGATTATGAAGAAAAAAATCAGCCCTGTTATAGTCCCATTTTGTCATTATTTTCCAATAAATATTGCAATTCCCATTTCATTTTAGCACATTTCGCTGTTTAATGAATAAGACGAACTAAAGTTTGTAGCCCACAGACAGTAGTAATTTATTTGGTGATTTATTCACTAACATCCGTATTGAAACGAACTTAAATCCGAATCTAAAACAGCCAAGCTATGACTATAACTGAACTGGCAATTTTTTTTTTCCCAGATAAGTTATTTTGCCTCTGTTTTGACGTTTGTTTTTTAATTCGGTATTATTGGGAGTTTGGTGACTAAGCTTATTTTCATGTTAAGTTTAGAGGATATTCAGGTAGTTAGTTATACTATTATAAGTTATTGGATACATTCATTTACAGGTTCTTATCAGAGATGAGCTCTATTCATGAAAGTGGGTTAAATCCAGCACAGGGAGAAACAGTCACAGAAAGACCCCTACAGCACACTGCATGTGTTGACCCTAATGTAGTTTCCCTCAATGCTGAAACGTGTCCTGGGGCACACAATGTATTGAAGTAAAGGCAGCAGTGAATGCAATAAGAGTTCTTGTCAGTTTCCTTTACCTGCTGTATACAGTACATGTTTGCACCCTGAATAAAGCACTTACACTGTATAAATATAATCTGCTCCTAATACAAAACGCAAGCAGGTTTCACTTCTATTTCCCCACTTGTCAGCCTGTCATCATTTGTGTTCGTGATGGTGATAGATGATCTGGGCTCTGCCATATAGGCTTACATTTTGTAGCTACATCAGAATTTCTGTTCAGAGATTACATGCAGTTCTCGACATGGTTTTAAACGGATGGGGCTCACCTAAGGCTTAGTATTGTAAACTCCATCAGACACCACTGTAATGTTTAAATCTCTCTGCCCTTGTTATATTGCTACCTGCAATATATATATATATATATATACAAATATATATATACACACACACACATATGGATAGATAGATAGATAGATAGATAGATAGATAGATAGATAGATAGATAGATAGATAGATAGATAGATAGATAGATAGATAGATAGATAGATTTGTGTGTGGGTATTTCTAGGCTGAGATTAACTCATGTACTTGTTTAAAATAAAATGATTCACCAAAGAAAAGATCATCAGCCCAGTAATAATACAAATTTGAAAACAGAGAAACAATTAATTGATGGTGTGATTTGTTCGTCACGTTACAAAGTATAACGATGTCAGTTTTTTTTTTTTTTATTTCTATATTTTTGCCCGACTGTGTCTATATTTGTTATTTAAGCAAAGCATAAATTATTCAGTCACATTTCGCTTGATGTGTTAATAAATAAACATCTGTTTAAACAAATAGTATATACATTTATATCTGATAATGACTGGAGAACAAGGGGCTCTCACTAAAAAGAATTCTGATAATCGACTGATACACATTTTGATAAATTAGTCAAGAAGGGGGAAAAAGTCAGTAGAATGTATCCAAATTGGCTATTTTGACAAAAATGATGTCAATATGTTTTTACATTTCCTCATCTCGCTGTTTAGTAGATCCCAACGTGTTCCTTTACAGAACTTTAGTACCGGTTAAAAACATTGTCTCAATCAGGGTGCACTGGTACATGTTCTAGAGACAATTAATAGAATAGAAGATATTGGTTTAATCAGCTGATCGAGAATGAATGTTGTAGGGTAAATTAACAAATCAGGACAATTACTATAAAACTGGATGTTACCTACTTTAAATACCTACTTTAATTACTACAAATTATCTATTTATCTATCTATCTATCTTTGTTTTTTTCTGTCAAATTGATCTGTATTGTATAGCTTTGGAATGTTTATGCATCGTCTGAAGGTATAATCAATGCTGAATATATAAAAAAAAACGAACAGATCGAGATATTTTATAATTAGCGGTGTATGTAGTGGCTACATGGGAAACCTTCCCGGCAGGGGTTGTTTGAGCCGTAATAACAGATTAGTGTAGAAAAAAAATGGATCAACACACTATTATGCTAACATTACAGCAAACCAATTATTTTGAAGAAAATCAGGTTCATTGACATCCCGGGATGGCCAAAAGGTCTTTATCTCCCATCAACATGTAACATTTCTATGTGTAAGATTAAAACAAAAAAAAAGTGTCTCACTATAGTTTATTAGATAAGAAGAAATTAGGTGAAAATAGGTGAAAATAAGTAAATAGAAATTTACTTGCAAAGAGTGAAACTAAACTAAGGGGTCTATTCACTAAAATGTGAGTAGTCAGGATTGACAATCACTTTCTCTCTATGCTAGTGACTATAGAAGAAAAAGAAAACAGCAATGCTTGATTGGAGATGCATTTCTTATTCACCTTTGGCCTAAACTTCAAGTCAGTTGTTAACTCATTAATTCTCACTGTTTGGTGAATATACCCCCAGGCCACCAAGCAAGCTAAACAAGTTACCTTTCTGACCCGGGGGCGAGAAAGTATAGTTGAATTACAATGTTTTACGCTCTCCTCTTTAATACAAAGGCATTTAATTATTTGATATCACTTCCAAGGCACATGCAGATTGTAGGAATTCTAAACAAAACGTTTGACACAAAGGACACGTGGCCTGACAAAGCATTGTTACAAAGTATGCATGTTTTATAAAATCAGTACATGAGTTTCTGTGTACCTTGTGTGTGTTCATTAGAAAAGGGAATACCAATAATACAGATAGTGCTATTCATATATAGAAAACAACTGGTGAGAATGAGTAGATCGAGAGAGAGAGAGAGAGAGAGAGAGAGAGAGAGAGAGAGAGAGACAGACAGACAGACAGACAGACAGACAGATAGGATAGATAGATAGATAGATAGATAGATAGATAGATAGATAGATAGATAGATAGATAGATAGATAGATAGATAGATAGATAGATAGATAGATAGATAGATAGTGAGATTGATATTTGTACTAACACATTCAGCTAGTTAACCCATCAATAAGCTATAATTTGCTGCTGTTGCAGAGTCCCTAGTAGTGTCAGTGGGGGATCAGGTGAAGTGATGCTTTGAAAGTAAAGTTAGAGAGGTGTCTTGGTGCGCAGGAGCGCAGGGGACTCGCAGGGCTAGTGTTGCTGAAAAGCGTTAATCAGTGAGAGCCGTGCTCAGTGGAGCTGCTCACTTTAACGTCACTCCAGCAGCACAGAGGGCTAGTGAAGTGATTGCGGTGCCTGGGGACTGAGATTTCCACTCCACACTAGCCAGGTATGATACACACAGAAATGTCTCCATTACTTCAGTGCAGCTCTCAACCAAGTGACAGCCTGCAGGTTCCTGGAAGCCGCTAGTCTTCTGGGAAGACAGTCTGCATCGAGCACAGGTAAAACAGCCTCTATGTACTGCACCTTAACCAAATGCAATTGATTGAGATGGGAGATTTGCACAATATGTGTGTGGATGCTCAGCAGATAATACTGTCTAGTGTCAGTGCTGGTGAGAAGGCACTGAGGTTGGTCCCAGGACCAAGCAGCTGGAAGTTCATTTCGCTGTAATAATACATAAGAGAGAAAGTTTAACGTCATTGACGGTGTGCTATGAGGGGAGTTAGATCAGAGAGCTGGGGTCTGGCTTGATAGGGGTTAAAAGCCCGTGGCATTCTTAGAATGTCTGCCAGATATCCTGTCTGTGTGGTCTTTGTTCTGCTAGGTGCACTAATGAAATTCTCACTTTCTGAGACTCATAAGAGAGGAACATTTGTTAATTTAGGCATGCTGAATCAAACCATTGGAAAAATACCCACGGTCTCCACTGTTACCTGTCTGCTGTTAAGGTAAATAATGACATTGTTTTTATTACTTTTGCTGATAGATTGGAGTGAATTATAGTGAACTTGGGATATGGAGGTTAAATGAAGCATAGAATAATTGACAATGATCATCCAATGCAATTCAGATACAGAATATTACACACATATATCAGATGTGTTTCTGTGTTAGTCAAAATTACACTTCCAACTAAAACTGAATGAGCTTTAACTGTAGTGCCTGGTCTGTTTCTATAGACTAGTCTGTGATGTCCAATATGAGTATGCTGATTGTGATGAATTACCTGTTTGATATATGGCCTGCCCACAGACACTGAACCAAAATCGTGCAGTTGATCTGTCCATCGGATATGTGGTACAACAGAATATATAGCAGGGGTATCAAAGATTATGTGATTGATTTCAAGAGGGGACAACTCACACAAAGTTTGTCAATAGCAAACACAAACATGAATATACTTACTACAATAACAATTTATTTAGTTAAGGTCCCGGTGAACATTTTTTTTACTGCACTTTGCTGCCAAAATGTTGGGTTTAAACGTCAAAATGTTAGATGCTTGTACAACAATATTTCTATGTTTATTTTCAGCCTTATAGGAAATGCATTTAAGCTATATTTTTATAGTATTTTCCACGCATTACTTTGTAAGGATTGTGCAGTAAAAATACGGTGTCAATATAGTAATGCAATAGAGATATTTATGTAATTGCTCTAATTAAAGTAAATAGGCAAACACTTTACAGATATTAGAGAGGGTCTGCCAATTATTTGACTTTTACTTGACAGCTTTTGTTATGTAGATGAGATTGTTTGAAGCCAGACACCACACTTATTAAAATGGCATTCTGTCAGCTGTGTTGATTACATATGCTATTATCAAAAGTCAATTCTAAAAGGGCTACGCTTAGGGTCTATAAAGAGGACCCCTTATCGCATCATCACTTTAAATGTTAATATCTGTCCTTGTGAAACACAAACTGAACTAGATAGATAGATAGATAGATAGATAGATAGATAGATAGATAGATAGATAGATAGATAGATAGATATATTAGATACATCTGGGAATGGATTTAGCAGATACATTGAGCATTATATTTAGGGTGAAAGTATTATGTCAATCAAATATATTTAATAAGTTGTGAGAAGTTTATCTGAAATAGTTTCACGCTCAGTCTCACGTGCTAAAACCAGTGTCCCTAAACAGAAAGAATAAAAACTTATATATACAGACAACACGCACACACACACGCACACACACACACACACACATACACACATAATGCCGTGTTGTCATAGTCGTTAATAATTAATACATTGGCATTAATGTTTAGGAACAAATGTAATAACGACATGAAAGGCTAAGACAGTGTTCTCTGTGTCATTTATTGATAGTCAATGTAGTGTTTATGTATGATTTACACCCTCGAATACGATTATTATTGTGATATATTTGATAAACCGACATGTTGCTATAGTATTTCACTTAACACGAAGACAAGTATTTTCATCTGTAAATTAAAGCAATTACACAGCATATATTATATTATGTGTACAGTGGTCTCCAGATAGTCATCAATCACCCCCAATCGAGCTGTCAGTGTGGGCAGATTCGTTTCTGGGAGGCACTCTTCCAGCTGGGGAAAAGAGAAGAACATTGTCATTAATTAGAGTGTGACCCTGGGGCTATCCACATGCCTGAACCCAGGATACTATCTGAGCAAGTCAGCACACCATGGTGGATAGCATTGTATGGCCCATCCTGACAGGGCACACCAGCCCCCCTACAGAACACTTACAAGTCCTGCTTTAATTCTGCTTTGTATCCCGCAGAACGTTTAACCCTTTCCCAACTCAGGGGGTTCTGCAAATGCATTGTCAAGGAAACAGGGTTAA